CAGGGCTGAGAGAGCTCTGACAGAAACGGCTCTTTTTCAAGAACAGCTCTTGTCAGAACCACGGCTTGCCCAAGGTCATCCAGCAGGTGCAAGTGGAGGAGAAGTGGGGGAATCAAACTCGGTTCTCCCAGATTAGATTTTGCGCACTTAACCACTACACCAAACTGGCTCTAAACTGGCACTAAACCAAACTGGTCTAAATACAGACATGCGCACGGACGTACATGCACACACACAGGTGTATCATCCTCAGTGTATTGTTCTGATTTTGAGGTTTGGCTTTCATCTTAGCATCTTCATTGCTGTTGGGGAAAATAGTCAAAAATACTTAAATACTCAAAGTTTTCAATGGATCTTTGCTTCACTGGAGAGGAGACATTTCTTTCTTTGTATAAAGCTCTATTTGGTGTAGTGGTTAAGTGTGTGGACTCCAATCTGGGAGAACCGGGTTTGATTCCCCACTCCTCCACTTGCACCTGGCCGCAGAGGCCAAGGGAGACCTGAGCTTGACACACACAAGCCTTTACTTTATCATTCTGGGCTATCTTTACTATTGGGTCTTCTATGTTTACTATGTTTTTATCATTCTGGGCCCTCTGCTTGCTTTGGCTACGGTAGTCTTATCCCCCACCCGCAAGTTACTATGGTTCTGGATTTTGTCTCCTGTTGGTAACTCTGTCGCATTCTTCTCCTCCTCCTCTCTCTCTCCATCCCCACGTTTTTTCGTCCAATATTTCTTGGATACGTCAGTCCATTTGTCAGTTTCTCATCTAGCCAGTTTTTCTCCCCTGCCCTTTCCTTGGGAATGGACTCGCTCAGGGACAGGGATTCCACCTGCAGTCTTGGATCTCAGCGACAAGAAGCGGCTCTCAGACCCGTGCCCTGAGTAGTGTCACTCGGTGGCCAACGTCAGAGGGGAAAGGGTTGCTTAAGCAGCCGTGCTGGCTGATCTTCAAGCTCTCCTTATGTTATGTACGGGGGTCCGCCACCAGGGGTCCGCGGCTACCGTAAGGAGCTTGGCTCCTCTAGACAATAGAGGCCTAGGATCCTAGTTCCCCCAGCATTCACCAATAGCCACCTTGGTGGGAAATTCAGACCCTCCAACGGGACTGGGTGTGTGCTGGGTGTGTGTGTATATAGTTGGCCTTGCAGGGCCGTTTGAAAGTCCGGTGTGAAGTACAATAAACGTGTGCAAACGCATGTCGTTGTCCATGTCCTCCATGTGACGAAACCAGTACTTTTCACCTCAGGTGTCAACAAACGGAGCGGTTCTATTTGTAGGTCCCGTGCTTCACTTTCAGCGTGAAATGAGACCAACCTCATTCTTTTCCCGGGGCCATCAGCGTGTCTCTTGGTGTGTCGTGTACCTTTCCCACCTGGCCTCTCTGTTTTTATCTCACCGTGGAGGGTCAGAGGCCTGCTTGGGTCAGCCAGCAGCCGCTCGGCCACCCCATGAGAGTGCCCAGGAAGGGCCCATGGTGTCCTGGCCTCTGTCCACCTGCCCCGCCCTTACAGAGGCCCATCTTGCCACCTTTTACTGAAGACAAAACCCCAACGTCTTTTCCTGGCTCCTGTCCCTGCTTCATATCCCTCCCAGGCAATTTGTGCATATTAAAGCGGGGTGTGTGTGTGGTTGGGAGTGGGGGGGGGGGAGGACCAGACTGGCTGTACTGGCTCGACAAGCCGGCTCTCTGCTCCGCTCCTGGCTGTTATGACGCTTCTTCTGCAGGCAATCTGTGGGAGGCTGGTGGGGGAATTTCTCAACGGGGAAAGGCGTGCTGCTGCTTTTATTCCAGCAGAAGCATCTTTTTGGAATGCCACCCATTTCGTCAGGCTCGCAAAAGGGGAAAGGCGGCAGCCTATGGTAATTAGCGCAAGCCGGCACAGGCTGCTGCTCTCCCTGTTCCTTCCTCACCGGAGGAGGAATAACCTGTTGCATTTGCCAGGAGCGACTGGAGCTGGACCAGCATCCAGTAGGTGTGCGGAGGACGCAGCAGGTGGATGCGCTGGGGCTGCCTGAGAGCGATGCTGCGGAGAGTGCGCTCATTCAGCGAGTGCCACCAGTCCTGCTGGGTTTCGGCCTGAAGGTCCTGGCTGGGAAAGAGGAGTCCGGCTTGACTTGCCCGAGTTCTTCCCGGGATGGCTTCGCTCTTCCGGCACCTGAAAGTGCTCCTGTGGAAGAACTGGCTCAGTGTCAGGAGGCAGCCGGTGAGTACAGGAAGCCGGACGTCTCGTGAGGTCCAGGGTGGGTGGGGAGTTCTCTTGTGAGCCTGTTGAGGAATATTTGCCGCAGCTGGACGAAGCCGCGGAGCTGTCAGAGGCCTCCTGTTCCTAAGCAGCCGGTCCGTGTGCTGCTCCTGCCCGGGAGGGAGGGGACAGGTGCTCTGTGCCAGCTCAGGGTCCCAAGTCCGGCTGGCCGGGTCTCTGCCTGGGGCTGGGGGAGGCGGGAGTGAGAGACCGGACCACAGCACAGTTCAGCAGACTGCAGGATGTATTTCTTGCTGCCAACAGGAAGACTGGCATGGTGGGCAGAGGGTTGGGCTATTGAACCCGCCTCCCTGGTGTGACACACTCAAACGGCCTTTGGTTGTGGGGAGTTTGTGACGCCGGTGTGTGTGTGTGGGGGATGCGTTCAAAACTGATTCAGGTGGGTCACCGTGTTGGTCTGAAGCACCAGAACACCGTCTGAGCCCCCCAGGGGCACCTTCAAGACTGGCAAAGTTTTGTTCTGGGGATAAGAATAAAACTTTGTGAGTCCTACGGGTGCCACTGGATTCAGACTTCCTTCTGTTTGAAATTCGGCTGAGGTCTGTGGAGAGCTGTGTGAGCCCGTGTTCAGTGTATAGTGATTGATAAGCCCAACGATACACGTTTGGATTTGTGAAGGGGTGTGTTTTTGAGGAAATAATCCAGCAGTTCCTTAGAAACTTTTCAGCAAAGGGGCTTGTTTGTTTCACTTGCTTGGAGGAGGGTCTAGACCAGAGGTCCCCAAGACATAGCCCCCGGCAAGGCTCCCTCCCAGCTGTGGAGTCTCTTGTGAGCAAAAATCCCACTTGGTGAGCTCCTGGCATTAGCTCCAGAGCAGATCAATTCATGCGGTAGCCAAATGGCTCACTCACAACTTTAATGCCAGGAGCTCACCAAGTGGTGGAATTTCTGCTCACAGCTTAGAGGGAGCATTGCTCCCCCCCCAAGCCTCCCCCCCCCATTGAGTGGCACTGTTGCGAGAAGGAAGAACAAGATGGCGGCCAGCATGTGCAGGAGACAAGAAGTCATTCCCGCTCAGACCTGCCGGCATCCTCTTGTCCCTCTGCTGCTGTGGGCTAGTTTGAATGTGGGTGCAAAGCCCCACAAAGCCCCCCCTGCCAGCTGGCTACTTTCCATCGCAAGCGGCAGTGCCTGGGACAAAAGGAGGCCGGCTGGACTGAGGTGGGAGAGGAGCAAAGGGGCCAAGCAGCCCCTGAGGAGAAGGCTGGCCAGCGGTCCCGAAGGGGGTGGGGGTGTAAAGTTCTCCTGCTCCCTTGTCCTGTGAGGACCACGAGAGGGCCAAAGGCTCCGCAGCATTTCCATCTCCGGAGGGGGCGGGGGTGGGACCTCACGCGGCTGGCGTCAGATCATAATGGCGGGAGAAAAGGGGGGGAGAGTCTGAAGAAAGGAGATCTGCTCCCGGTCCTCCTTCGATTTACGGGCAAACTTAGACTCTTCTTACTTCACAACTCTGGTTATTGAGGGGGCTTTGTGTTGTTGAAGACGATGAGTATTTTATTTATTTATTTATTTATTTTGATTTCTTAACCGCCCTTCCCTGCTCACGCGGGGCTCAGGGTGGTTTACAACAGCATAAAATCCAATACAAATTTTAAAACCAGTTAAAACTACAAAAATCCCATACTAAAATATTCAGCATAATTATTTCAACACTTTAACAGGATGGCCTGATTCGCATTCAGATTTCCATGAGGGGGAGGGGAGGGGAGGGGGCCAGGCAGGGGGAGGAGCGTCTTTATTGTGGTGCTCTAATATCTCCTTCACGTTTGCCTATTTATTTTATATCTCAATTTTTATTATTTTTATTTTATGTCATGTTTATTTTAAGCAATATATTTCAAATGTTGGTGATATACTGCGATAGGATCAAAAAGAAAAAAGGTGGTGGTGGTGGGAGTTCAACCCTGAAAACAAATCAAATAACCTAAAAGGGACTAATTAAACAAACCTCAAAAGAAATATGATTTCAAAAAACTTTAAATGAGTTTCGATTATCTGTAAATCACACATACACATTACGCATACACACACTATGACACAACAAACGAACCCCAGACACGTTTCAGCTAACTGCCTTCCTCAATGGTGACATAAAACAACTTCCAGTGAATATGAAGGTAATTGCCACATACAAATGTATCCAGATATCCTGTAAAACAATACATGAAAATACAAGGGAAGGGGGAAAATCATTATGAAAACTATTCAGAATATAAAAAATAAACATACATATGAACAAACCGACTCATATCAGAAAATTGCCTCCTGTTTAATACACATTGTAGATGTCTAATTCTTACAGTCTACTTTCAAGGCAAGGCTTTGTTGAAATCCTACCACTAATATATGAGGTCCCGGCACATAACCTAAAAGGACAAAATTCAAAAAATTATAAAAATCCATGAAAATAAGCAATCAGACAGAAGCTTAATTATTAGTTAATTTAACCATCCCCCTTCCAATTGAATTTATGTTCCTATCAAAATCTGACCAGAATCTCTCTCTTACTGTAGATATCATCACCACTGCAATAGGGGTGTAAAAAAAAATGCCCCACCCACCCGTTTCAGGACTATTGGACCTGGAAAATATTGTTATTTTTTGCATATTCCTGAATACCAATATCAGTTTTGTATTGAGATTTGGGTAAATATTTAGGAAACCCGAATTTATTCCGCTCCTTTATATCCTCCTTATCCTGATGGCCCATCTCAATCCCCCACGGAGTTTATTGTCTCCTGTAGTAGAGACTGATTATGAATGTTAGTATTATATACATTTAGGGCTGCGGTGGCTCAGTGGTTAAGATGCTGAGCTGCAGACCGGAAGGTCGGTAGTTCAGCAGTTTGAGACCCGAGTGCCACGTGACAGAGTGAGCTCCCATCTCTGGCCCCGGCTCCCACCAACCTAGCAGTTCAAAAGCAAGAAATTGCAAGTAGATCAATAGGTACTGCTTCATTGGGAAGGGAACAGCGTTCCGTGCGCCTCGGCATCTAGTCATGCCGGCCACATGACCACGGAGAAGTCTTTGGATAGCGCTGGCTCTTCAGCCTGGAAACAGAAATGAGCACCACACCCCTAGAGTCGGATTCAACTGGCTTTTGAGTAAGGGAAACCTTTACCTTTACTATTTTTATTTTATTGGATTTGTATCGGCATAGCAGGCTTAGGGCAGGTTCCATCAAATATAATATACAAACAATTAAAAGCCATTAAAACACATCAGATGAAATATAAAATTCCTACGTTTCTAGTCAGAGCCTCAACAGATGAGGTCCATTTCAGATTGGGGTTCCCAGATGATAATACAGATCTGACTCGCTGAAGGGGGGGGGCTGGTGGAAGGTGGGGGTGCCTGCCGTCTCAACTAAAGGCCTGGTGGAAGAGCTCCGTCTTGCAGGCCCTGCAGAACTGTGGTAGGTCAGTGAGTCAACAGATCCCTTCTTTACGTGGGGCTGCCCTTGAAACTGACCTGGAAGCTCCAAGTGGCACAAAATGCGGATGTGCGGGTCCCCACGGAGGGCACATCTCCACCCAGTGCTGTGCGAGCTGCATTGGTTGCCCGTGGAGCACCAGATCAGATTCAAGGTGTTGGTGCTTACCTTTGGTACTGGTCTCTGCCCAGGGTTTTAACCAAGGGGCTTCATCTTGTCTCCAGCCGTTTTGCTGTTTGCTTCTAGCCTGAGGACTCTTTTTATCAATATCATCCCAGACTGCTCTATTTATGTGGCTTGGTGGTGTTGACTGGCATATATTATTATTAATGACTTAGATTATTTTATTGATACGGCTAGCTGCAAGTTCAGTAGACCCTCAGAGACCAGCAAGACTTGTGGGGTGTAAGAGCTATCCAGAGCCAACTCTCCCGTCACCCCTGACTTCTGAACGGCCCCCACCAGCCTTGCTAGTTCTCGTTGTTCTACTGCAGACCAACATGCCTCCCCCTCCGCCTGAGCCCACTTCTCTTGAAAGGCGTTTTGTGTTATGATTGGCTCTGTGGTCTGCTTGGCTTTCTTGTGGATTGAGCTGCCCCGAGCAGGCCGGCAGGGACGGCGTGGCCATTTCTTAAAGGACTAACAGGGTTAAGAGGGGCCAGCGGCAGAAATCAAAGCCAGAGCAGGCCGAGCAGGAGCCAGAGTTTGCCCAGAGAACCTGGAAGGGCCCTCTTTGGGAAAGGGTTGAGGGACTTGGCGCCGGGAAGAGAAACGGGAAGAAGAAAGGCGTCTCTGAGTCAGAGGGAAAGCATTTCTGACAATGTGCACAAGAACCAAGTTGCTTTGAGGATTGCAAGGTGGTTGCCGCACGAATGGTCTTACGTATAAAGAGTTTATTGGTATCTCTTTCTCTCTCTCTCTCTCTCTCTCTCTCTCACACACACACACACACACACCATCTGGATAAAGTTTTATTTACGGCTGAAGCCAGCAGTTAACATTTGAAACACTACAAACTTAGTAGTAAAAAACACCTATGAATAAAGGTAAAAAGGCTTAACAGAACAGTAAAATGCATTATAAAATACATAATAAATTCCTTAGGAGGTAGACAGTTAACAATAAAAAGATTAATATTTAGCTTGCTGTGTTATTATAGATTTTCTAATTCTTAAAACACTCCATCCAAATCTAGCCACTTGGTGTGTTATCTCCGAGTGCTTATCTGAGAAGAGGTTTTTCATAATACGGGCTCTTTGCCTAGTGGTTAGAGGTAAGAACTTGGGGAATGAAAGAGATTTCCAGAGATTATTATAGGCCTCACAGTCGAACATAACATGTTCTAGATTTTCAATGCCTACATTACAGCAGGGGCACATGCGTTCCTCGAATGGGATTTTCTTATACTTTCCTTCTGTATTCGCTAAGGGAAGAGCATCCCAGCACATAAGTGTAAATGTTCTCCTATATTCGTGGTTTGACAGATGGTAGAAATAGGCTATAGGA